AGGGCTGACCTCATAGAGAGGCCACCTCCTTTAGTCACCCGAGTCTGTGACGTTTGACTGTCAAATGTGTGTGAGCCAACCGCCCACTTATGATGCTGCGTGGTTTTGGGGTGACAGGCTTCCATTATGTCCAGTTACCCCATGATGAGGAATGGACCTGAACAGCCCTTCTCTTGGAGCAGACAGCAGGGGATTAAAGAGCCACACTGGCTAGACAGCTGCTCCATGTACAATATTGTGATAACTGAGGGGAGATTAGGATGTTGTGTTGCATTTTGAGTTTCTAACGTCATAGGAATTAGATCTAGTATTTTAAGCCCCCAGACCCAACCTGAGTCTGAGACCTGAGCAAAGCCTCAGCACTTCAGGGAAGACCACCAACCAAGGCGCCGCCTATTGGCCTCACCCCTTTGATGAGCTGCCATCGGGCCCAGTAACGTCAGCGTCATAAACAGACCCCAGCGCTCACAGTGGTGCTGCTGCCTTCTAGGCGACGTTGAGAACCCGGCCCCTGACTCCTTCAGGGCCCCCTTTTTCCCCATCGTGTGGTCTGGGTAGTAAGAGGTAGGCTGCTCACTTATTCAGAATAAACTCACAGCTGCTTAAAGATTTTAAAAGTCCATTTTTCTCAACAGAGGCATAACTGAATGATAAAACCAGTTTTCTGTTTTCTTTTTTGCAGGGCTGAGACTTCAGAGACCTCCGGGACATCTTTCAGTGCTCACTGAAACCTCCTACACCTGGTGATGGCACAGAGGGACTGTTCTCTTAGGAAAGCAAATGTAGAGCAGTTGGATCTCAGCTCTCTTGAAGCTTCTGATCTCGGACCTTATTAAGCCCCTTCCTGAGGCCAAGGACAAAGCTCACTTGGACAAATGGTTGTGAGTCATGAATGAAATATCTGGCTCTTTCCATAATGAGAAAGAGTTAAAAGACGGACCGGTGAGCAACACTCCTGTTTGGGAAAGATGGTGTTGGTTTGGGATATATGGTTAATTGTAAATAGGTAGAACATATCAAAAGAATGTGGAGCTTAGAAGTATTTAGAAAAAAAAACCCTCATTATAGTTCTCTTTCTTCTATTAGAAGGAGCTTCTATTCATCTGAGTCAATTGCCTTTCCTGATAGCTTATTTTCTAAGTGGGTTATGGGATTTTGTTTTGTAATTTCTTGGATGGGGGTGGGATTTAAATGAGGAATTCCCCCAAGAAGTCTGCACCTCATATGTTTGGGTTGTTTATGTTACTGGCCTCTTCCCCTGGCCTAATTGTCCCTAGGATTTTAGTTCAATGTGATATGTCTTTTATGTTATGAGCCTGGCACCAGCCCCACATCTGTTACCTTTGTCCCCATCTTGCCCAGAAATATTCTTAAAAGGAACCTATGGGATTCAGAAGGTAGGCTGAGACAAAGCCCTTGTTTTGGGACTGTAGTAAGATTTTCTTCTCAGCAGTAAAATAAGTGAACTGTTCTTCCAGAGAAAAGTTTTGGACGCTGGAGGGGACTGAACTGGAGAGGAAAAAGAATGAAGAAATGAATCCTGAGTGCACAGATCCCTACAGGGAGTTGTTCAGCACCATGAATCACCAGATATTTCTGAGAACATATTTTGTGCCTAGTAACATTGGTGGTTCAGTGGTAGAATTCTCACCTTCTATGCAGGAGACCCAGGTTGGATTCCCAGCCAATGCACCTCAAGAGCAGCCACCACCCATCTGTCAGTGGAGGCTTGCGTGTTGCTGTGACGTTGAACAGGTTTCACTGGAGCTTCCAGAGCAAGTTTCAGAGTCCCTTCTGACATCCATTTTGGTCTTTTCTTTCTTTCCTATCTTTTTAATGACCTCTTGCTTTCTTCATGTATGATGTCCTTGATGTCATTCCACAACTCGGCTGGTCTTCAGTCATTAGTGTTCAGTGAGTCAAGTCTATTCCTGAGATGGTCTCTGAATTCAGGTGGGATATACTCAGGGTTGTATTTTGGCTCTCATGGACTTGCTCTAATTTTCTTCAGCTTCAAATTGAACATGCATATGAGCAATTGATGGTCTGTTCTGCAGTCGGCCCCTGGCCTTGCTCAGACTGATGATATTGAGCTTTTCCATCGTCGATTTGATTCGTGTTTATTCTATCTGGCAAGGTCCATGTGTGTAGTCACTGTTTATGTTGGTGAAAAAAGGAATTTGCAGTGAAGTCATTGGTCTTGCAAAATTGTATCATGCGATCTTTGGCATTGTTTCTATCACCAAGGCCATGTTTTTCAACTACTGATCTGTCTTCTTTCTTTCCAACATTTGCATTCCAATCACCAGTGATTATTAATGGGTCTTGATTGCATGTTTGATCAATATCAGACTGCAGAAGTTGGTAAAAATCTTCAATTTCTTCATCTTTGGCCTCAGTGGTTTGTGCATAAATTTGAATAATAGTCATATTAACGGGTCTTCCTTGTAGGCATATGGATGTTATTCTATCACCGACAGCGCTGTACTTCAGGATAGATCTTGAAATGTTCTTTTCGACAATGAATGTGATGCCATTCCTCTTCAATTTGTCATTCCCGGCATAGTAGACCATATATGATTGTCTGATTCAAAATGGCCAATACCAGTCCATTTCAGCTCACTAATGCCTAGGATATTGATGTTTGTGTGTTCTATTTCATTTTTTGATGACTTCCAATTTTCCTAGATTCATACTTTATACATTCCATGTTCCAACTATTAAGGGATGCTTGCAGCTGTTTCTTCTCATTTTGAGTTGTGTCACATCAGCAAATGAAGGTCCAGAAAGCTTACTCCATCCACGTCATTAAGGTCGAATCTACTTTGAGGAGGCAGCTCTTCCCCAGTCATATTTTGAGTGCTTTCCAACCTGAGGGGATTATTTTGTAGCACTATATCTCACCGTGTTGGGCTGATGTTCATAAGATTTTCACTGGCCAGTTTTTTTCAGATGTAGACCACCAGGTGCTTCTCCCTAGTCTGTCTTAGTCTGGAAGCTCCACTGAAACCTGTGTCCACCAAGGGTGACCCTGCTGGTATTTGAAATACCAGTGGCAAAGCTTCCAGGATCACAGCAACATGCAAGTCACCACAGTATGACAAACTGACAGACACATAGTGGTTATTATTTTTTTTAGAAAAATACAAATGGTAGGATAGGTATATATTCTGTCCTTTGCTTTTTCCACTTAATTTATCGTGAAGGTTGTTCCGTATTGCCCATATGGAACGTTCTCATATGGGCATTTTCTCAGTATTCTTTATGGCTGCATAGGTTCTCAATAAGTGGATATGCTTTAATTTGTTTAATCAGTCCATTAGTGGACTTTTAGGGTTTTATCAGCCTTTTGCTATTATAAACAGTGCTATAGTGAATATGTCATTTTGCATGTGGATGACTTTATCTGTTGGATAAATTCCTAGAATGGAATTACAAGATCAGAAGGTACAAAGCAAGTATAATTTGGCAGATCTTGTCAAGCCATAGAGATGGTAACAACTTACTCTCCTGTGTGATGTAACACTTTGCACTCTAGCCAACCAGTGTGTTAGCAAGCTTTCTGACCTTTGCCGGTCTGATAAGTGAAAAATATTGGCTCAGAGTAGTTTTAATTGGCATTTCTCGTGTTATGAGTGAGGTTGAGCATTTTTTCATATGTTTAAGAAGTATTTGTGTTTCCTTTTGTGTGAACTGTCCATATCCTTGGCCTGTTTTTCTACTGGGTTTTCTTGTTTTCTTTACTGATTTGTAGGATTTTTAAACGAATTAGGGAAATTGGCTCTGTACCTGTGATATGAGTTACAAACAATTGGTTGGTTGTTTTATTTAAATATTTTTGTCTTTTAAGGTCAGTTTGGGGAAAGGTTTCACAGACCAGGAAGTCCATAAGACACTGCCTCATGAACTTCACTTATGCAGAGCCAAGACATCTGTTTAAGGTTTCTGAGATAACATTAACTAAACTTTTTTCAGGTTTTCTTAAGACCAGATTAAATAATTTTCCTTCACAATATTCCTTTTAGTGCCGTCTCTAGACTCATCCCTTTTTTGTGGCACTGGGAAAAAATGTGACATTTAAACTATCATCTTTGTGGCACCAATGTATGCCCATAGGATTGACCCTCATTATGTCTTACAGGTTGAAAGAGTGTCTGCTGGGAACTCTCCACCATATGACAAGGAGAATCATGTTCTCCCCACTTTTAGAGGAATTCCTGTACGTATCTCCCACACCTCCATGCCTCCTGCCAATACAAGCTTTTGTTGTGTCAGGCACTGTGCTAAGTACTGGGGACACAGGATGTCATCGAGCCTGCCCCCCAGGAGCTTACACTTGGGGAGGAGGTCTGAGACACAAACATGCAAAAATAACCTCTGTATAGTAAGGTAATTGCTATATTGAGGCTGAGAATAAAGTACAGTGGGAATACCACATTGCCCAAATTTTATATGGTAAATGGAGTTTCCAAGTACCTCGCTTTAAGACTGGCTTTAAATAACCATCAGGGCAGACTAGATCCATCTGGCCTCCACTTCAAAGGGCATTCAGTACAGCAGGTGGGCCATGTTTGTGTGGATGCGGGGATGTGGATTCCACCCTCACACTAAAGCTCAGTTGCTCTTACAGATCTCAGAGTTGAAGAACCACAGCATCCTCTGGGCCCTGACGGCAGAAGCCAACGGATGGGAGCCAGGCGGTATGGTCCCCTTCAAGGCCATGGGAGTCTGGGCAGGACCCAAGTCAGACCTCCTCATGGATCTGCTTTTCACCATTTGTGTTTCTCTCACTCCTTGTCCTGCAGAATTGTGTAGATTTATCATTCCTCAAGAAAAATAGAATCAGTACTGATTAGGGGTCGAAGACCTGAGTTTTAATTCTTCTCTGCTAGTGACCTGCTAAAGAAGCACTGTGCTACAGTGGTTAAAGCGCTCGGCTGCTAACTGAAAGGTCGGTGGTCCAAACCCACCAGCTGCTCCTCGGGAGAAAGATGTGGCTGTCTGTTCCCCTAAAGATTAACGGAAACTTGTGGTGCAGTTCTACTCTGTCCTGTAGGGTTGCTATAAGTGGGAATCGACTGGACAGCAGTGGTTTTGGGTAGTGACCTACAGTGTGCCTTTCAGCAAGTCATGTCATCTGTATTTCTGCAGTGGAGATATTAACGCCTCCCTTACCCTCAAAGGGATATTATGAAAATGAAATGAGACAGATATGTGAAAAGGCTTTGAAAAAGTATCCTACTTTATCTGCTTTACATGGCTTTGTCCTATACTGTATTTAAGCTCATTCCACTTGCTAATTTATTGCAGAGAAAGGCACACTCACCGATTCAGAAGCACCAGTTCGGGAGTCAAATATCGCTGGTTTAAATCCTGGCTCTGTCACCCACCAGCTGTATGACCTTGAGCAAGTTACTTAACCTTTCTACCCCTCACATTCTTCATCTATACAACAGGGACTATATTAGAAACCTGTGTTATAGAAATTTTATAAGGATTAAATAAGATAATATAAATAAAGTCCTTAGCACATAAAATATAAATCATAGTAAGAGCTCATTAGTATTAATATTGCTAGTTACCTTTAACTCTTGCTAACTAAAAATGTAACCTATACAAATATGATGCTTTTTAAAAACATTCTAATGTAGAAAAATCATTTGGAGGTCTATGAATTTTCTTGTAATGTAACTTTGTCTTTATTGTATGATGACAAACCCAACATTTATTAGAGATTTTACCTTAAATCCCACGATGTTTTATATTTGAATACAACAGGCATTTTTATGCCAGATACTTTGTGTAAGTTAAAATTTTTTTCAGATTGCTCTTGGCTAATTTAAATTAATAAAAAGACCAGTTGCCGTTGAGTTGATTCTGACTCACGGTGACCCTGTGTGTGTGTCAGAGTAGAACTGTGCTTTATAGGGGTTTCAATGGCTGATTTTTTTAGAAGTAGATCACCAGGCCTTTCTTCCAAGGTGCTTCTGGGTGGACTCAAAACTCCAACTTTTCAGTTAGCAACCAAGCTCATTAAACATTTACACCACCCAGGGACTCCAATTTAAATTAATAGGCTAGCTAAAACAGCAATGCTGTATGCTTATGAGTAAACGGAATAGAGCCCAAATAAAGGAGGCAGTTGAAACAAGGATAAAAGATAAAGAATCATGCTAATGTCAGCTGTGCTTATTATCCTGAAGATTTGTCTTTTCTCCGCATGTTCTTTTGTTGGCCAGGGGAGAGTAGTATTTATGTCAGGATCCTCTTCAGAAGTAGAAGGAGCCTCCCTGGTTCCAAAAGGAAAGGAAAGAGAAGCTCTTGTGCAGTCTGGACATTTGCATCGAGTTTTTAGGCACCAGACTGATATTGCTGGTTGAGACCTTGTGCTCTCTGTTGGCTCACCTGCTGCGAGAGCAAATTCCCACGGCTTTATTGCAGACATTTCTGCTCCTGGCTCACAGTCTTTGATCAAGTTGTTTGTAGGTGAGACGTGCGGGGTTAAAGATTGATCACGTTGCTGAGGATTTGAAAGGGTGTAGGTAAGGATTTGAAGAGTGATAAATGAATAAAGTTGTGTGTAGATGAGGGTGTGAAGAGTGAAGGGACCTTTTTCAGCCTCATAATAAGCATTCGTTGTTGTTGTTCCACTCTTTCTGTTTTTGTTCAGTCACTTTGTCCCTTCTTTTCATCTCCCAAGGGTCCAGCATGTTTTATGTTCTTGACCGTCCAAAGTCGAGTGTTCTGTATTCCATTAGCGTTGTCTAGCTTGGAAACCCTGAGTCTCCCTGTCTGCCACCCCACCTAGAGTTTGGGGCTGGCAAGATTGAATTTTCTAGAAATCCAAGCATTCAGGACCTCTGGACCCACCTCACCTGCTATGACTGTCCTTCACTCTGCTGGACCTGAGCCCATGGTTGTGTCGATAATAATAGCTAACATTTATTGAGCACTTACGTTTGTGCCATATACTCTTCCAAGTTGTGGAATGACCTCATGCTCACAGCTATGTTATGAGGGATTACAGATGATTAAGTAACTTGCCCAAAGAAATACAACTGGTAAGTGTTGGAGATAAAATAGAAACAGGCAGTTTAGCTCTGGGGTGTGCTTTTAGCGACCACCCTCTATCTACCTCTTCCCAGCGACTTTGTTTTATTCATTAGCAGTTAGCGTTTAGAGTTTTTGGTAGTATTTTATCCAATTGTCAAGTATATTCTCAACACATTGCATTGTCATGCGACTTCTTCAGCCAAGACTATAAGGCAGAGGGGAGCTATCCGAAACTATTTGTACCACTGCGACTGGAAGATCATTTTTGGTGTTAAACTGAAGCATCTCCATCCTTCACTTACTTGATGTCCTTTATAGGAAAGGCAGTGACAGCAAATACCCTAGCAATTTGGGCTAGAGACTAACAGCTGTGGTTTGGAGAAAAGGCCTGTGCAGTGGCTCTCGAGAGCCTATCCTGCTGCTTTTCCCCTGCTTATTGTGCTTTCAGTGGCTCTGGGTGGCACAAACGGTTAAGCACTGGGCTGCTAACTGAATGGTTGGTGGTTCAAGTCCACCGAGAGGCACCTTGGAAGAAAGGCCTGGCGATCTACTTCTGAAAAACCAGTCATTAAAAACCCTGTGGAGCACAGTTCTACTCTGATGCACATGGGGTCTTCATGAGTCAGAATCTACTCAAGGCAACTGCTTTGGTTTTTGGTATTGTGCTTTCATTCATTCATTCATCAAACGTTTGTTGAGCACCTATCATGTGTCAGGCACTGTGCTAGGTTCTAGAGAACCCACAGTCTCATGGGCGAGGCAGTTACAACGCTGTATGATAAGCACTGAGTATCAGTGTCTCTCAGGAGTGACTCCTAGTCCAGACTGAGGTGAAAGACAACATCCAGTGAGGGTGATATCCGAGTTAACTGAGGGCTGAGAATGAGCTACGCCAGCAGGGGTTGGAAGTGAAGGTGAGAGTACTAGAGTCCTGGTTGGTCAGCAAGGGGGCAGCCTGTGCCAAAACACCCAAAGTGGGAGGAGGTAGAGCTTGTTGAGGACCTTCAGCTAGTTCCGTATAGGCCAAGGGCAAAGCTGGGAGGTGAGAAGGATCCAGATTATAGACGTACTTAGGTGCTGTGCTGAAGAGTTTGGGTTTTACCTTGAGGGTTATGGAGAATCCCTGGAGGATCTTGAGAAGGGGTCGACATCAGATCTGCCTTTTTCATAGCTCACTCAGCCAACTGTATGAAGGGGGATTCGAAGGAGACAAGACCTAAGGCAAGCAGATGAGGTTCGGGCTGCTACAGTGATCCAGACATACCTGGATCTCAGTGTTTCCTTTTCTCACTATTACAGTTGTAAGTACAGAAGTGCTCAGAGCCCAAGAAGAATGGGAAACCGTAGACAGCATCCAGCCAGAGACAGGTAACTGCAGCCACGGCAAGACCTTCACACAGCCCTGCTGGCAGCAACGGTACCATCCTCATGTGTAACAAAAGTTTCTGCAGCTGTGGGATTAGGAGATAGAGTTCTGGTGTTCTCATTTTAGCTACGTGACATAGAGTAAAGTCTCCTTTTCAAATCCAAAGGAGATGACATTCTGCCTCTGGGGGAAATGGGAATGAGTGCTGTCAGGAAAGGGCCAGTATCCTGTCCATCCCCCACCCAGCCCTGAGAGAAGACAGGAAGGACCTGAGTCAGGCTCAGTCTCCGCAGAGTGATGAAGTTGGGCACAGGATGGAGGCAGGCAGCAGAAGGTTGAGCAGGTTGTTCTCTGCACAAGGAAGTCCCTGGGGGTGGGGGTTGAAACCATCTGCTGGAAGGCTCTGAGGACTGGGTGAAAATTGACTCACGTCCCTTTGTGAGAGAGGTTTGGAGGGAGCTGTAAGAGAATAGAACTAGGACCCATCCAGCCTGAGCCCCATTTGAGCTCCTGGAGAGATGTTCCATGGGTTTTATGAGCCATCACCTGTACTGCTAACTGATAAGCTAGTTCCCTGTGGGCTATAACCAAGGATGAGGAGGGGGTCATATACAGGTGTGAGAAGGAGCAAAGTAGAAATTAGGAAAGGCCTCTAAACTAACTGGTGGCCTGCTTCTATGTGGGTATCCACTCCAGGCAGGGACTTGCCCCCTCACAGGTGAGTGGAATTTAGGGAGCTCCCTGTAGGGTGGATCTATCCCGACTCACTACAGAGGTCCGCCTAGCAAACCTCTAAACAGCCTGGTCTAAAAAGGGAGTCAGCCCAGCAGATAATGCCAGCCCCTTGAAAGCGGATTGGTTGTGGCTGTAGGTGTCTGATGTTTGCAGTGTCAAGCCAGTGCTTGGATTGGAGGTGATAACCAGAAGGCCCTCAGTAAATGGTATAATGGCTACCATTATAAATCCTGGAGTGTCTTCTCTTTTGCCACAGGGAGCCGGGCCAGTTCAGACCAGCCTGGGCAGCTAATCTCCTTCAGTGAGGCCCTGCAGCATTTCCAGACTGTAGACCTCTCCTCCTTCAAGGTATGGCTATAGGGAATTGGGGTCTCAAGCAAAGCAGTTTCTTCCCAGTAGCCAGATATCCATTCCACAAGGACAGGGCCCTGAGCAGGCGTGATGGAAACTTCCAGTTGAGGGCCCTGCCTTACCTAAGACTCTCGAGGCACAGGATCATGGTAGCCAAGGACCCATGGGTCATGCAGTGCCCTGGAGGCGTCTCTGAGACTGTGTCCATGGAGCTCCTGTGGCCCTGTGATACAGGCGCCTTTGTAGCTGTTTCCCTGCTCTTTCCTCTTAGGAATGGAGAGGTCTGGAATCATGCTAGGTAGTTCCTTGGGGGAAGTAAGGCAACCTACGCAGGGAGCTGAATTCCTGGCCAATATAGGAAACTCTGCCATTCCCTCAAGGAACCAGAAGCTATTTGGGAATTTAAGAAATATGTGGAGTTGGAAAAAGAAGGAATATTGGGGAGAATAAAAGCCGAGAAGAGCTTTCTGGAGCATCTTGAGTGACCAGTAGTAAGTTTAGGAGAATGCGATTGCAGATCTTCAGTCTAAAACTCGGCTCAAGAGAGACGCTGAAATGACAGGAATGGGGTTGGACTGTGGGACCCAGAGAGCCAGAAGCTACCAAAATCAGAATATTCTAAGGCAGTGGCCCTGAGCCACAAGAAGCCAGCATAACCTGGTTTAGGAAGTGCTGATTGTGGTATAGACAGAAGGCTCCAGCTACCCGGCAGAGGCATTGACCCCCTCTAAACTCCCCAATAAACTCCCCTCCCCACTGGCTCCCTCATCCTGGAAATTGAGAGGCTGCTCGATTTTGTGACTTATGTCCTTTACAAAGAGAGACAGCAGACAAAAGGTAAAAGCTGCTGCTGGGAAACCTGGCCTGGTTTTTGTCTGACCACATGGGGGTTCTCTGCAGCTGGGCATCTCTAGCCTCACTGAACCAGTTGCTGTGGAGTCAGTTCTGACTCATGACAATCCCGTGTGTGTCAGAGTAAGGTTTTCAATGACTGATTTTTTGGAAGTAGATTGCCAGGCCTTTCTTCCTAGGTACATCTGGGTGGACTCGAACCTCCAACCTTTCAGTTAGCTGAGCATGTTAACTGTACCATCTAGGGACTCCTAGCCTTACCGGAAGTCAGGAACAGCTAGTTCTGGGAAAGTTCAAACGACTAAATGCAGAGAACTGACTGATAATGCATGGGCTTGGGAACAGCTCTTTCTGCTTGCAAAGACCCTGGAAGCTGGAAGAGCCTGTCTCCAGAGACTCAGCATGTGCTCACCACAGCTGCGGCCCCCTTTCCCTGGCCCAGAGACCAGCCAGTTGGTGGGAACTGCTTCTTTCCACAAGAACTGTCCCTGTATGTGGGCTCGAGGGTAAGCTCATTAAGGCAAGCAAACCCGGCACTCTCTCCATTGCTTCCAACTTCCTCCCCAGAAAAGAATTCAGCCAACTGTTCGAAGGACTGGGCTTGCTGCCCTCCGGCACCTCCTTTTCGGTCCTCCAAAGCTCCACCAGGGTCTCCATGAGGAAAGGGACCTGGTCCTGACCATCGCTCAGTGTGAGTGCCAGCCCAGCCCAGCACAGGCGCTGCCACAGGGCAGGTGCTGCAGTGTGCTCATGCCAAGAGCACTGTTGCTCACCACAGTGCTGAAGCCAACCAGGGGTCTTGCATGTGCCCTGTTGAGGGGGAAGAGCACGGGAGCTGAGGGGTCCAATGTGGGAGAATAGAGTATCTTGAGCACAGTCCAGATCCATCTTGGCTGTACCTTCCTCTGAGAAGTCCTCCCCTAAGAGGCAGTCTGACCGAGGGTGTGGATGTGTTTTGGGACAGGTGGCCTGGATAGCCAAGACCCAGTACATGGCCGAATCCTCCAGACCATCTACAAGAAGCTGACTGGCTCCAAGTTTGACTGTGCCCTCCACGGAGACCACTGGGAAGATCTTGGCTTTCAAGGTGAGAGAGAGAAATGGGTCATCTTTTCCTTGATCCTGATTCTAGGACTAGGCTGAGAGGCCAGCTAGTCCTCTTCCAGTCAGGCAGCACCATGAGATAAAATATCTGGGGGGAAGCATTCCAGGAAGATGGTGCAGCAAATGCAAAGACCCTGAGGTGGAACACGCTTGCTGTGCTTGAGAAATAGCAAGGAGCGTGTCTGAGTAGAGTAACCAAGAAGAGAGTGATGGGAGAAAAGACCACGTGTGGCGTTATACGCCATTATAAAACATTTACTCTCAGTGAGATGGGAAGCTATCAGAGAGATATGGTTTGGAATCTGGAATTTTTTTTCCTTTTTTTTTTTTTTTTGAGTATTCGTGAAATTTTTATTTTATTTTCTGAGTAAAACAAAATAATTTCAACTGTTTCTGGATTGTGTACTTTTTTTGTTCAAAATCATGTCAAATCACGTTTGTATAGAATAGGAAACTGTCTTCATTTAAAAACTTAAACTTTATATACTTTTTTATACTTTATATACTTTATATATCATTATTTGGTAGTCTTTCGGTATTGATACGTTGACGTCCCTTTACCCTCCCCATCTATAATTTAATTGTCTTAAATATTTCCTCTATATACATTGAGAATCTTATCAGACAATGTTATGATATTTGTTTAGCCATCAAACATAATTTTAAAAACTCAACACAAGGAAGGTGGATTTACCCATATATACTCTTACTGTTGTTCTTTCTTGCCTCTTGGTATTCCAAGCCTCCTTTCATCGTTTACTTTCCATTTCAACAACTTCTCTTTTTATGTAGTAAAAATATATATATGAAACATTTGCCAATTCACCAATTTTTACATGTGTAATTCAGTGACATTGATTATGTTTATGTTGTGCCTCCATTACCACTATGCTTTTCCAAGTTATACTACTGCCGTTAACCAAAACTCAGTGTGAGGAACTTCTTTTAGCCATCTTCACAGGGTAGGTCTGCTAGTGATAAATTCATCGTCTGTGGATGTCCTGATTTCCCCTTCGTTCCTGAAGGATAGTTTCACTGGATATGAAATTCAAGGTTGATAGCTCTTTTCTGTCAGCACTGAAAACAATGTTTTGCTACTTCCTTCTGTCCTCCATGGGTTTTGATGAGAAATCTGCTGTCATTTGAATCATTTCTCCGTTATAGGTGAGGTGTTGTTTCCCTCTGCTTTCAAGATCTTTTCTTTGTCTTTGGTTTTAAGGAGTTTGACTGTGATGTGTCTTGGCATAGATTTCTTTGGGTGTATTTTGTTTGGGGTTAGCTTAGCTTCCTGAATCTAGGTTTATGTCTTCCACCAAATTTGGGCAATTTCCATCTGTTGTTTCCTCAAGTGCTTTTTTCCAGCCCTGCACTCCCTTTCCTCTCCTGTGGGACCCCAATGACACGAATGCTAGATCTTTTGTTATCGTCCCACAGGTCCGTGAGGCTCTGTTCTTTTTTTCCCCCGTCTCTGTTGTTTAGAGTGGATAATTTCTGTTTTTCTATCTTCAGGTTCACTGATTCTTTCCTCTGTTATTTCTTTTCTGCTATTGAGCACACCTAGTGAGTTTTACGTTTTAGTTACTGGATTTTTCAGTTCTAAAGTTTCCATTCAGCTCTTCTTCATATCTCCTATTTATTTACTGAGGGTTTCTATTTATTTGCTGAAACTTCCTATTTTTGCATTTGTTTCAAGTTCTGTTTGTAATTGCTCATTGAAACATTTTTATTTTAGCTGTTTTTTTTTTTTTCTATTGCTGCTGTAACAAATTATCCCAAACTTGGTGGCTTAAAACAACACATATTTATTATCTTACAGTTCTGGATGTCAGAAGTCCAACACAGGTCTCACTAGGCTAGAGTCAAGGTGTCAGGAGGGCTGTGTTCCTTCTGGAGGCTCTAGAAGAGAATCTGTTTCCTTGCCTTTTCAAGCATCTAAAGACTGCCTGCATACTTGGTTTGTGGCCCTTTGCTCCATCTTCAAAGCCAGCAACATAGCCCTTTTCTAACCCTGCTTCCATCCTCACATCTCTTTCTCTGACTCTGTGCATCTGCCTCCTTCTTTTATTTTTAAGGACCCTTCTGGTTACATTGGGCCCACCCAGTTAGTCCAAGATAATCTCCCTGTCTGCTGACTAGCAACCTTAATTCCCCTTTGCCGTGCAGTGTAACATATTCACAGGTTCTGGGGGTTAGGGTGTGGACATCTTAGAGGGGTTATTCTCTCTACCACAGCAGCTTTAAAATCCTTGTCAGATAATTCCAACATCTGTGTTCTCTCAGTATTAGTGTCTGTTGATTGTCTTTTCTCATTCAAATTGAGATTTACCTGGTTCTTGGTGTGACAAGTGATTTTACATTGTATCTTAGACACTTGACTATTATGTTATGCACTGTGGATCTTATTAAATCTATTTTAGCAGGCCTCCTCTGATACCATGCTGGCAAGGGAAGGGCATGGTCACCTCATTACTACCAGGTGAAGTTGGAAATCCAATTACCCTACTTGGCCTCTGGTGATACCACCCTGGCTAGGAGAAGCAGGGGTACCTTGTCCCTGTTCCCACGTGGCCTCCACTAACATCACAGAGAAGGTGGGGACTCCTTACCACTTTGGGTGGATAAAAGTCCCAGCTAGCCCTGGGCCTTCTCTGTCACAACCTTGGTGGAACTAAGGGACACCTCATTACAGTCGGGCCAAAGTGGAAGCCTAGGCTCCCAATTCAGTCTTTGCTGAGGGAGCCTGGGCGTGGGGCCAGTGTTTTCCATGGTGTTTGGCTGGAGCAGGATGGATATTGTCAGAAGTTTTCTGTCTTGCCATGCTGCCCATTTCCTGGTCTTTTGGCTAGAAAAACCATGTTTTCCTTGGGGATCTTTTTGTCTGCTCTCATTGGCATTTCTGTATTATGCAAAAAGAAGCCCAGGAAATGCATGTCATTTCTCAGGTCCCGAGGTCATTAGCCAGTCTGCCTTCTTGCCTCCACCTTTCAGAGTCTTCTTGTTTCTTTTATATGTTAATGTCCAGTGTTTTCAGTTGTGCTTAGCGGGAGGAATAAGAAGTGCATCTACTTCATCTTGTCCCAGAACCAGAAGTCCAACATCCGTTTTTGAAGAATCACTCTGTGGAGAAGTAACTATAGAGGATCAAGGGCAGCAGCAAGCTGACTTCCAAGTAAACATATGTAGGAGGCTCCCCTAGGCCATTGGAGGACCAGCTTGTTTGGCCCCTTCACCCCGAATCAGTCACAGGAGTGTGGCAGGACATGAGCCTGGGCTTCTCATGCCAGAGGCAACTTCCCAACCAAGCTCTTGAAGCTCCAGGGAGCAGAGACCTCATTAAGCATGCTCACTGTCCCACCCCAATTTCCTTATGGTTTCTGTTACAGGAGCAAATCCAGCCACAGACCTGAGAGGGGCAGGCTTCCTTGCCCTCCTGCACCTGTTGTACCTGGTGATGGACTCCAAGACCTTGCTGATGGCACAAGAGATTTTCCAACTGTCTCGTCACCATATCCAGGTATGGCTTTGTTGGGAAGCCATAGGAAAGGGCTGTGGAGCTAGGACCTGAGCTGCAGAACTTTCCTGAGCCAGCCAGGAAGCCCTGATGGGTAGATAGCTCTGACTGCTGAGGCTCTCGGGACAGCTGGACAGCCCCTGTCAGTCTGACCCAGATTGAAATCTGAGCTCCACCATTCATTAGCTGTGTGTCTCAAGCAAGTTCCTCAACTTTTCAGGGCCTTGGTATCCTCATCTGTAGAATGGAGATCATAGAAACTTCATCTGGGTTATTGGGAAAATTAAATGAGGTAATATACAAAGGCACTTAGCACAATTGCTACTCTTGTCTCAACTCACTGTCCTCCCTGAAGAAGTCCTTTGCACAGTGTTGGGAGTCCCTGCTGATCCTGGGAAGGAAAGTTAGCCTTTATTTGCTCAAGAGGAGAAGATTTACCTTGGGCCAAGTGACACAGATTTACTGACAGGCCAGAGTCTGCCTTCTGTAGCCCCTTGATTTCTGTCTCCAGTCTACTTCCTGGGGTTGGGTTGGATGGTTTTCCCAGGTGGGAAAAGGTAGTAATCCCTCTACTTTAGAAAACACATTTAACCTGTTTTCCTGCCATTTGTTTATCCTGGACTCATGGGACCTGGAATCCATTCATTTGCTGAAATCTCTGATCAAATTCAGCATCTCCTGTGCTAGGTACTGTTCTTGGTATTTGGGATACATCAGTGAACAAAACAGACAAAGACCCCTGCTCTTGTGGAGCTTGCCTTCTAGCAGAGGAGACAAGACAATAAGCATAATAAATAATTAAATTATAGAGTGTGTTAGAAGGTGATAAGTGCTATGGAAAAGGACAAGTAGGGCAGGCTTAACAGAATGGGGGCTTGGGGAGGGTTGTAATATCATATAGGGTGGTCAGGGTAACTCTTGTGAGAAGGTGAGATTTAAACCAAGCCTTGAAAGATGTGGGGACATTACCAAGGTGATATCTAGGGAAAGAGCATTTCAGGCAGAGGGAACAGCTAGGGCAAAGGGCCTAAGGAAGGAGGATGTTTGGCATGTGCAGGGATGCCAGGGAGCTAGCGGGAGCGGAAGAAGCACAGGGAGAGCAGTAGGAGAGGAGGTCATGGAGGCAACAGGGCATAGAGCCTTGTGGGCCATAGTAAAGGCTTTAGATTTTACTCTGATTAAAATGAGGAGCCATGACAGGGTTTTGAACAGATGAGTGACATGATCTGACTTACATTTTTAAGTAGATTATACCAGCAACTAGACTGAGACTAGTCTATAGTGAGGACTTTTATAATAAACCACGTTAGAGCTGATGGTGCTTTAGACCAGAGTATTTTCAGAGGAAGTGGTACAAAGGGGTCAGATTCTGGATTTAGAATCTTGAGAACATAGGCTTAAGAGAATAGAGCCAGCATGTTTTTCCTTATGGATTTCATGTGGGTTTAAGAAAATGAAAAGAGTCAGTGATGATTTTTAGTCTGAGCAACTGTAAAGATGGTTGCCATTTACCGAAATGCAAAGACAGAGCAAGTTTGGAGGTTCAGTTTTGGCATGTAAATTTTGAGAGGTCTATTCAAGAGGTCTATCTCCACTTCCAAGTGGAAATGTTGGGTAAGTAATTATAGGTGAGTATGGAGTTAAGGAGAAGGCTCTAGACCAGAGATTAAAATTTAGGAATTGTCAGCATATAGGGCAGTGGCTCTAAAGATGTGGTTCTCTGTCCAGCAGCATCAGTATCACCTGGGAACTTGTTAGAAATGCAGACTCTGGAGCCTTCTCCAGGCCTCCCGACTCAGAAACAGTAGCAGAGCCCAAAAATCTGTATTTTAACAATCCCTCCAGGGGATGCTGAGAGCCACTGGTATAGATCCTATTTTAAAGTCATGAAACTAGAATGAGATTGCTAAGGCAATGAGCGTGGAAGAAAAGAAGACCAAGGACTGAGCCCTAAGGCCCACCAACATTAACCGAATGGGGAGAAGAGGAGGAAGGACAGTAGGAGGAAACCAAGAGTACGTGGAGTTCTAGAAGCCGTGTGAGGAAGGAGTCTCAAGTTGCAACCGATGACAGAGGATCAGGTCTGCTAATCACTGGATTTGTCAGTGGAGGACCTTGAGGAGAACATTTTCAGTGGCGTGGTAGAGAAAGAAGCCCCTGATTTAGGTTGGATTTAAGAGGGAATGGAAGGGGATGCCTTAGGCTGGGTTCTCTAGAGGAGTAAAACCAGTGAAGTGTATATATATAAAAATATAGAGAGATGTATCTCAAAGAAATGGCTTACCCAGTTGTGGAGGCTGGCAAGTCCCAAATCCATCGGTCAGGCATCAGGCTGGAGGCTCCTGCTGATTCACGTGTTTGCAGGGGCCGACAAATGCAAAATCATCAGGTCAGGCAGAAGACTGCTGGCTCACGGGTTTGCGGGAGTTGGCAAATCCCAAAATCTGCAGGTCAGGCAGCAGCCTCCCAGGAGTTCAGAGGATGATGAGTTGGATGCAGATTCCAGAGAGAACTTTGACAGAACATCCATGTATATTGGATGCAGGTCACACCCCCATGCAAACTGATTTCCTTTCAACTGATTGACTTTCAGCCTATTGGCCTTTCAACTGATGGGCTGCTCACATCAGATCACAAAATGGAGGATGATTACATAATATCTGCCAAACCACTGAGGATCATGTCCTAGCCAAGTTGACACATGACCTGAACCATCACAGTCTACTCCTTGTCAACTTGGCTTCTTCTGTACACATCTCCTTAAACCATACATAATCTCTAAAGACAATTATAAAGTCATACTTGCGCCTAACATGATTCAGCTAACACTCATAAAACCAAAAATGCACTAACTCCGTTTACATCCTATATTTTATAATAAATAATGGAATAAGGGAGGGAAGAAAACAAAGATATTTGCTATATATACATATGCACATGCATACATACATGCGTATATAAGTATAACCAAAAAGGGAAGAAATACTAAAAATAATTACAGTTCTTATTTCTGCAACTGGTCACATGGTTGTAGCTGGTATTTAGAACTACCTTCTTCCACCACCCGCTCCATATTCCCATTGTCCTCAGCAAGTATCTCAGCTGGTCGTGGGTCTTTGCCTTGTGGGGCGACCCAAACCTTCATTCCTGAAGGGTCTGGGTCATTAGTAGTCATGTCAGAATTGGGTTGCTGTAGTTTTCCATTGACTTTAATCACAGGGTATGGTGGTACTAAGAGACATCCTAAAGGATCGCCTGTATTCTATTCATACTGTTCTTTACCTCCGTTATATAATATCAATTCAGTTTCCCTTTGGTAATCAGGATCAATCACACCAGCCAATACAGTAACTCCTTTCTTTGCCTGTTGATCAGGAGGCAAGAGGATCCCAAAGTGGCTAGGAGTCATTCTTAAGTTCCAGTTCAATGGTATCAGTGTTGTATCTCCTGGTGGAACATTCTTCCCTTTTGAACTAAGGCCTCTAGACCCACACAGCATAGGGTCGCAGGGACAGGAAACAAAAATCTTGCAAGTGGGTCAGTAGGGGTAATAGTGGTGCCACTCCCATTTCCACACCTTAATTTCTGGACCCATGAATCGTGGCTATGGGAGATACAGCACCATATATTGGACACCAGTTTAGAACATATGCAGCCTTCTGGAGAACATTGCCCCAACCCTGCAAGGTATTACCACATAGCTGACACTGTAAGTGTGTCTTTAGAAGGCCATTCCATTTGTTCTGTCAACCCAGCTACTTCAGGATGATGAGGAACATGGTAAGACGAGTGGATTCCATGAGCATGGGCCCAATGCCATACTTCATTTGCTGTGAAGTGAGTCCCTTGATCCGAGGCAATGCTGTGTGGGATACCATGATGGTGGATAAGGCATTCTGTAAGTCCACAGATGGTAGTTTTGGCCGAAGCATTGCCTGATGCAAAGGCAAATCTGTATCCATAGTAAGTGTCTATCCCAGTAAAAACAAAACACTGCCCTGTCCATGATGGAAGGGGTCCAATGTAATCAACCTGCCACTGTGTTGCTGGCTGATTGCCATATCAGATTTAGTGTTGGTCTCTGCTGCTGGCAGATTGGGTACTCAGCAGTGGCTGTAGCCAAGTTGGCCTTGATAAGTGGCAGTCCATGTTGCTGAGCCCATGCATAACCTCCATCCCTGCCACCATGGCCACTTTGTTTATGAGCCTATTGGGCAATGACAGGAGTGGCTGGGGAAAGAGGATGACTGCTTTCCACAGAACACGTCATCCTATCCACTTGATTGTTGTCATGGACTGAATTATGTCCCCCAAAAAATGTATGTATCAATTTGGCTGGACCATGATTCCCGGTATTGTGTGATTTTCCTATATGTTGTAAATCCTGTCTCTATCTATGATGTTAATGTAGGAGGATGGGCGGCAGTTTTGTTGGTGAGGAAGGACGCAATCTACAAGACTGGATTGTGTCTTGAGGCAATCTCTTGAGATATAAAAGAGGGAAATGAGCTGAGAGACAGGGGGACCTCATACCACCAAGAAAGCAGTGCTGGGAGCAGAGCGCATCCTTTAGACCAGGGGTCCCTGCACGGAGAAGCTTCTAGTCTGGGGGAAGGTTGATGAGAAGGCCAACAGAGAGAGAAAAAGCCTTCCCCTGGAGATGACGCCCTGAATTTGGACTTTTAGCCTACTTTACTGTGAAGAAATAAATTTCTCTTTGTTAAAGCCATCCACTTGTGGTATTTATGTTATAGCAGCACTAGATGTCTAAGACAATTGTTAAAATCCTCCTCTGCCGAGGTCATCCTTTAAGGGTAGCCAGACTTGAGTACTAATTCAGAAAACCCATCGTTAAATGATTTTGTTCCTCTAGAACCACTCTCGGTACCAAATGTCTTAGGCTGGGTTCTCTAGAGGAGCAATACCAGTGAAGCATATACATATATGAATAGAGAAATTTATATCAAGGATATGGCTCACACAGTTATAGAGGCTGGCAAGTC